GGATGAAACTGAAGCACCGATACCCCAGATTGAGGCAAGCAGTCGGACAGCGCGTCTGACATTACTCAATGAGTGCGCGCGCGCGCGGTGAAAGAATCGCTCTCCTAGACAGTCTGCGCATCGACGCACCCGAAGGGATGGTTGAATGGCTTGCATGATTAGCAGACTGAGTGCACTAGTCGGGTACAGGACAGGAAGATGATCGCGACCGTTCCCGAGAGCGAGAGCGAGAGCTCGAGCAATCGGGTCGGGGCCTACCTAGCCTGTCAGGTAAAGCAGATGACAATACTTGGGCTGAATGTCATGCTCCTGATAAGTGGATCCGCCAATTTCATCGCCCTTTGATATTGCCATACGGAGTGCGGTGCCTAGGCATAACAATTCCGAAAGGCGATAGTCTAACGATGGTGGTCTAACTACATCTGTGTGAGAGTACCTCTGTGTGTACATGCATGAGAAGTTGTGAGTGTATGATGTAACTGCCTGGTAATCCGGGGCCCTCCCGCCCTTAGCGGAGACATGCCTTGATAGGCCATCAATCATTCTGGCCGACCGGGTCAGTCATCGTTCCCCTTGAATCGGAACAACTGTCCAACAAATGATATCAGGTTTTGCAATAGATTTGATCCCACTTAAGCGATACACTTTGGGTCCCCCTCGACTATCATTTCCTTTTCCTCCTTCCTAATCTTCCCACGTCAAAATTGTCAGCCATGAACCACTTTGATACCGATACTTCTTCGTTTACAGTAGGCTGTAGTAGCACGAAAATAGATCTAGAGCAACCGACAACGGGGCGGGGGCCCGCCATGCAAACACAGACAAATGACGTAACTCGACTTGTCTCGCTTGATGAGGAAGTAGTTCAAACTATCGTGGGCCGTGGCTCATCGTCCATGGGTCCAAACCATCCACGGGCATCCGCCCGTCTAGGTACGGGTGTCGGACCTTTCGTACATGTTCTAAGTCATCTCACTACAAAAGTACCTCCGCGGGGGCTAACCCACCTCGGTCGCTCGAGTCGGACTGTACGTGGTACCCTCTGGTACCCTCTAGTACCACACCAATACTCCATACCTCACTTGGATACTCCCCCGTACTGTTACTCGATATCAATACATGCTCCGTCGTATTAAGCTTCTGTGGAGATCCGGCCGCTGTAAGCCCGGAAGTGTCCTTTCTCTTGACACTGATTGGCGGGTATGGTATCCAGGCAATCCAAACCGTTAGAAAGTTTAAAGCCGCTTACAGTCTCTATACAGTCCACCTTCAAGCTACCATACACAGGTATGTTACAGTATCAGAAAAATCGATCTCGTGAGAAGAGCAGAGGTGGTGGGAGAGCGACGTTTGCCATTCATGGCAGTCAGAAGGACAGGCAGATTTTACATGGCATTGCAGTATGCTCGGGAGAGAGGGGGAACCCAGCATTAAAAGAGGGTTAGCTGCAGAAACGGCCGACGTAGGCTACCCAGGTGTCTGTGCTTCTAGGGTCGAAGCATTGTGTCATAGCCATCCTCCTACGTAGTTAGTTATCCGCAGGATACGGTTTAGTTAAGAGGTATGGTTCAATGTTTGATTTGACCCCGTGCACGACAGAATTAAGCTCCCGGTCCATATCCGACTCCATCATCCTAGGCGAGGTCGGACGTTTCACTTGACCAAGGCAAACCCTACAATTGGGGTGCTTATCCACCTGTCTTACCAACTCTCATATACTGATTTCGCATTCCGCCAATAATACTGTGCTGTTTTCCTCTCTTAGGGCTGTCCAACAACTGCTGCCCGTTTGTGGACAGTCCGCAAATCCTCGCAGCAACTACAGGCTCGGCGCGAGTCATTCTGGGGCTCATGGTAGATGTACGAATAGGAGTGTGTGAGACCGACCGATCGTAGCTTAGGTCTCTCCGATTTGCGATGCTCCTATTTGATGCTTTTTGATCGGAAACATAGTCCCTGTGGAACGCTAGGGAAGGCCTTCGTACGTACCATGGTCTCAACACATAATTGCGTTCCTGCCAGTCTGCTTTCCCGACTCTGCTATGCGATGAGGTCCGGAAATTCGAGGATGGCCTGTCTAGGTCTGGCCGAATGCCCTACCTACTTAGGCAGTAGTTTGGCTTTTCGCTCTCGTTTCCACACTCAGTAAACGCCAGCATCGGCCCTGGTCCCCACTGCAACAGGCAAGAACGGAGGCTGGGAATGGAGCTCTTTGGGGGTGGAGGTTGAGGTTTCTGGGAGGAGGGGCCCGAGAGAGCAAATCGTAGCAACCGTACCCAGTATAGTTATCTCGCCAAATTACCTCTCTTGGGAAGTCCATGAGGCTGTTTAAACGGCGGGTGTCCCACTCAGCTCTCTAGCCCTAATGCCGACCTGGAATAGGATCGAAACGGACATCCTGCACTGAATAATGCGTTCCTCCCAATCTCCTATATTCTATCGCTTTCCGCAACTTCAATGTGCACCGTCCTGGCATGATCTTTCACTGCAACCATATGCCCTGGGAGGTCCATGTTCACGTACCTTACTCAACATGCAGGGAATCCACCGGAGGAGAGTCAACCGTGGTCGATGGAGTTTCTTCGAACCAGTGCCTGGTAAAGTTCAGTAATGCCACTAGGGTTACCCGTACTACGAGAATCACAACTGCTACCCCTAACGGTAGTTACCTTAATTCCCGGAGTCGGTAGTTGTAGTAGACGCATATCGTTTTCCCGAGCTTAACTTTGCTCGCTCGTAACAATCGGCTCGTGCTCAATTGCAATCCCCCACTGTGTCTACTGTCTAGTACCTCAAAGCCCCTCCCTGTCTTATAGAAGCAATGAACTACCAGATCGTGGCTGAATTTGGCTGTGCAGATTAGGGTCCCAGGGCAGCAAATCTGGATGCGACTTTTAGGGTTGTATGTATATCGAAGCTAAGTAATGCCCGCCGACTTTCGACCGCCCGCATTGTCACGAATCGCGACAGACTCCAACCCCCTGGGGCTTTCGGAAATGACGTAGACCACCTATCACCCAGTGCTTGAAGAATCGGCGAGATTAGAAGGGGAATGGGCCGAATGGCACCCCACAAATCTGGAATAGTTCTGCCGGATGGACTGACACGGTATTGAAGCGATAGGCGCAGAGGCTGAGAACTGCAATGCACGCCCCGAAAGAAGGAAATCAATTTGATCCAGATAAACCCGAGATGTGCTAACTAGGTAGACTCTCATGCTTAATTAGGCAGTTGTCAGCTTCCTTTGGGGCTAGCTGATGGATATACGGATGTATACAGCAGAACTCTCCTTCTTATTATACTGGGCTCTTGGAACCGTCTCGCAGGTAGAAATTGATTGTGATCGTGGTTCTTTTGCGTCTTTTGCTACCCCTGCTATTACCCTTGTTGTTTCTCTCTTTCTTGATCGGGATATCGACGAGACCCGAGGGAGAGGTACAGAGATCTGAACAGAGTTGTTAGTCGTCCACCACACCTACCTGGGATGAGTGCAGCTGGTATGATACAGTACCAGTAAGATAACGGCAGCTCTAGCCGTTACCTAGTCCAGGTACGTTACTCTGGTAATACCATCAAGCATTACTCAATTACCAGACCGGATCCACTCCCACCCCTCACAACATCCCCACAGCTGATTCCTGGGTCTTCCTCTGTTCGAAATCAGTCCTCATCTCGGAAACTGACCCAAACAACATTATTCTAAAAAAAAAAAATGGTTGTAGAAAAGGCAGTAGAGAGTAAGAGACAGAGAAAATCAACCACAAAGAGGACGCGTGCACAGCAGCGAAATGGAGAATCCAGTAAAAGGGACAAGTGGGCAAAATAAGTTTCTGGAAGGTTTCTGTCTCCATACCTTTACATTTGGGGATGATTTTTATTTTGGAAAGTATTATGATTATTATTGTTCTTCGATCTCTGTTTTTTTTTTATTTTATTTTTTTTTTTTTTCTCTTAAATCCGAATTTCAGATAATATTCTTTTTTATCACTCAACCAACCGTTATTATTGCACGTCACCACGTCTTTCCCATGTGGCCCCTTTCTCTTCTTTTATTAATAACTATCACATTCTTTCCACAAATCCTCCGAGTTCAAAAAGTCTTCTTAATCTCTTTGGACGGTTGTTGGACTTAGTCGAAGTCCTTCAGATCCTTACCTCTCACCATCCATATCCACCGTACCCTACTATACCGATTCTTACTCGGGATTCCTCCTACTACTACTAGGTGGCTACTAGTACTTACTTTACTACTCCATTACCTCCTACTTACATTCACCACTTACTACTTACTACTACCTCTCTCTTGTCCGCTCTCTTTTTCTCTCTTCCCCTTCTTCATCCTCCCACCCACACATTTCGACTATTTCCACCACCATCTGTACAGTTGCTTCCAGCATACGTATTCTTCGACTGTCTTTTCTCTTGAGAAAACCTTCTCTCTCTGACCTCATCTCCTTGGTCCTAACAACATCGGGTGTCTGTTCTCATATGACTGTCTGAGTAAGGGGTTTTCTGGTCAGCTATAAATCCGATACCTTCCGCGTTCCGCTTCTCTTCAGCAACACTCGGACATTCCCCTCAACAGTGCTTCTCCGCTCTTCGCGACCCAAATCAAACCCCCCCCCCTCCTCCCGTCTCATCCACACTACAAACCATTTCCCCCCCGGTCCGTCCGATTTTCAAACAATTACCTCTCTTTTGCCCTTTTGCTCGCGGTAGTCTTCCTGGTCGCAGTCGTTCCATCTTTGCAACACTGGGAATTGTGATGTGACACATTTATCAAACCGAACTACCTTAACCAACACATTCTACCCAACCTTTTTTTCTGGTCTCGGGACGAGCTTACCACACCGTCTCCCGATCAAACCATCCACGGCGCCGGGTCGGAAATCACTTGTTGATCCGAATGCCACCTCAATTTGCAGTCGCCTCGCAATTCCTCAATATTCTCGACTAGGTTACCGAGCAATATATAAGCAGAAAGGAGAGAAACGGAGTATCAGATATCCGGAAGCAATTTACCAGCCTAGTCGTAACCGAAAGGCCATATCTGCGCCGAATTGCTTTGATAATGTTTCGCAACAGGTATGTCGGTGCGGATCTTCAGAAGTGGATGATGCGTCCTTTCAGGTCGCTGTTTGCGCTCTTTGCTTACCGTTCCATTCTACCGTACAGGAAAAACTCCCAGAAGCCTGATGATGAGCTCATCACGAGATTCCAGAAGACTTTCCAGGACGTTGTTCCTCCAGTCACCGCCCGCAATGCTGCGCGGTTCGGTCAGGGACCCGTTGGACCCATCACTCCCGCCAGGTAAGAACATACATCTCCCGGGGCCACGAAATGGACATTCCGTCTTAGGACGAAATCCACTCAGACACCTGCCCATGGAATTTCATACTCGGAATTAGATTTGAATTGAGAGCTGACTCACTGTTCAACCATAGGTTGAGCATGGACAGCGACCTGAAGCCCAACGATATCACCCCCCGTGCTACGCACGACATGCGTTTCGCACAATCATACGTTGATCCCAACGCAGTATCATATATAAACCACATGAACCCCCATGGCTACTACACTCCGAACTCCGGGGGACTAGGGGCCATGTACCATAGCCAGGCGGGAGACTTGCATACCCCCGGCATGGGTTTGAGCATGATCACTCCCCTGTCACTTCCTCAGCAGCTGTCTGCAACCACGATCAACACAGATCCTGCCACCATGGGCCTTGACCATTTCAATCCGCATTTTCTCCCCTCACACTTCCATAACCCGCAACCGTTTGCTCAACCGGCGACTTTTGCACCGGGGGCATTTATTCCCACCGATACAGTTTATGATGCCATGGACGAATCTGTCGAGTCAATGTCTCTGAATGATGTGGATATGCAGGGTAATGCTGCAACCCAATTTGTTCCGTCGGCGATTCAAGATGATCAGCTCAGCATCCAGAACTCGGGCGAAAGGTGAGCTGGACCCCCCCTTGCTAGAGTGAGCCATTAGGTCTAACTGGCGCAGTTTTCGCTATCATGTCACATTGCGCGCTCCCACGGCAATGATTAACCACCAAGCTGAGATACCCGTCACATATCTTAACAAAGGCCAAGCATACTCGATCTCTGTTGTTGATTCGACACCACCACCAATGACTGGGCAACCGGTGAAGTATCGGACTTACATCCGCGTGTCTTTCCAAGAAGAAGAGCAAAGAGCTAAGCCGGGAGCTTGCTGGCAGCTGTGGAAGGAAGGACGAGGCTCCAATGAGGCGCATCAACGAGGCGGCAAGTTGCAAGCGGTGGAGTTTGTCGATCCAACGCAAGGGGGTGTTGAAGACTCGAAGAACCGTCAGATCCAGCTCGAATGTGCATCATTTGATGGTTTCTGCGTGACCTGGACCGCGAATCCATTGACCGGATCGTCGGATTGTGCCATTTCTGTTCGCTTCAACTTCCTCTCGACAGATTTCAGCCATTCCAAGGGTGTGAAGGGTATCCCCGTCAGATTGTGTGCGAAGACAGAAATGCTCTCACCAGAGGACGTAGCATCTGGCTCAGGCAAGGAGCCGGAAGTATGCTATTGCAAAGTGAAGCTTTTCCGTGACCATGGAGCCGAGCGTAAACTGTCCAATGATGTCGCCCACGTCAAAAAGACGATTGACAAGCTTAGGCAGCAGATTACGCAGGCGGAGATGGGAGCTGGCAACTATGGCAAGCGGAAGCGCAGCAGCGGCTCGATTGCGCTCAAGGGCGCCGATCCTCGCCCCGCCAAGATCACGAAACACAAACGGACCTGGTCCATGAGCTCCCAGGATGGGCCCGGCAAGATGTCATTGGAAGATGATTTGCACGCCAAACTCGCACTGATGCAGGACATGTTCACTTCGACTCGGCCAGTGAGCATCTTAGGGTTGCGGGGCGAGGAAGAAGATGATCCTGATTTATTTCCGGTGGCACTGCCTGAATCGCGCGATTTCATCAAGAGAGAGAACAGCCGTAGTTCTCGATTTAGCGTCGATGGGGGTTCTCTGCATGCCGTCTCCCCAACCAGCAGCAGCATTTCATTGAACTCGCCATGTCATCCGAGCTCGCAGGCTAATCTATACTATGACTCGGGATACCACGGCTCCATGAACAACTCCCGCGAGAACTCGCGTCCTTGCTCCGAAGCCATTGGCGAGAAGGTCCTGCTGAAGCATCCGGTCAAGGTTCAGAAGGTCGCCGGCAACGATAACCACGTCCCTGTGGGATATATCGAAGCAGTAGACATTGACCCGACTTACAGGCCACCTACTGAGCGACCAGTAAAACCAAGTAAGTTGTATCAATGCGTGTAAATGCTGAGGTGCGGCGCTAACCTGGAACTAGTTGCATGTTTCTACGTCCGATTCCCGCGAAACGATCAGTCTCAGGACGACTACTACCGGGCCGTGTACTTGACGGAACGCACCGTGCGAGATTTGATGGAGAAGATCTCGATGAAGCAGCGGATCGACCCGCGACGTATTGTCCGGGTGCTTCATGTCAAGCAGAACGGTCTGAAGATCATGGTCGATGATGATGTCGTTCGCGAACTGCCAGACGGTCAAGACATGGTGGTTGAGATTTCCGAGACGTCCACATTCGAAAGTGCGGCGGCTGCAGGCGCTGAGAGCGCGAAAAGCGTCGAAGTCAAGTTGAGCTATTAATCCGTCTTAATTTTCTGGAGACATCTACGACCTTCCATGGTTTCTCCAATGCGTAAAACCCTTTTATTTTTTTTTCTCATTTTTCACATTTGATATCTGATTTGCATGAGGGCCTTCGTCTCGGGTGGGTCTTCTGTTTCCATTTATTACCTCATTGGACGCCTGGTGCGTGGTGAAAAGGTACACTGCATACATGCTTTGAGTGATATACCTCCGCCTTGATGATTTTACTGGAGTTTGGGGTGAATTTTTGTTGTTCATACCGCCCTCTACCAGGACGGTGGGAGGGGCGTTCGTTGGATAAGGGAATAATACACGAGTTCCCTGGCAATGATACCCAGTCATCTTTATGCATCATGCTTTGCTTTTGTGTTGCGGCTCTGTGCTATATGGTTTTCATGATATCCTAAACATGTCACTTCGACAACGTTCTGATGGGCTTTTTTTTATTTGGGAATATACGACCTCGCATTTCTTCTGGTTGAGATAGGTTGGCTTGCCATTTTTCGAAGATTTGGTTTTGAGGTATGAGGCAAACGAATAGATACCCTGTCCATTTTTGTCGGAAGTTATTATTATTCTTTGATTAATGGTTGATCAATTCCTCCGTGTGTTATCTCCACTCTTGCTGTTTTCTGGGAGAAGGAAACAGATGTTTCTGATTTGACTTCTGAGGCTTTTTCTTCTAAGGAGGAGGCCGACTCACTCCTTCGAGGGAGGTTCTGATACTCATCATCATTATCCTCTACCAGACTGTATTGCGTGTTCCTGTTGGCTAGCTAGGGTACCGATCATATGAGCCAGAGATAGAAAATAACGAAAAGATTTCTCTACATGGGAGCGGATATCACGGATCACGCGGGTAGTCAGGGTTATCTCGTTTGGGGAAGGGGTTGTAGGGCCATCGGGATCGAAAGAGGAGGACGAGAAGCCGATGGGAAGAAAGAATGCCGCCGGTAGATCGGAAGCTAAGAGAGCAAGTTGAAGGGGGAGGGAGGTCGGTTTAAACTTTTCCAATTTGGGTAGAGAATGAAATACCGGAGAGGGGAGGGAAGAGAGGGTAAGGAAGGATTGTCAGGTCAATATTGCGGGTATTATTACCGTTGTAGAGGAAGTGTTCCAGACCCAAAGACTCCATCCATACTCGCTATAAGTCTACTCCGTATCAACTAGTCGGTTAATTGTTTAGATAGACTCAAATTATGCAACCGCCGATGACATCATCGCCAGCCCCCCCCACCCCGCGCGCGCGCCTGTCTCCGAGAGTCTGTCTTTTGTCTCCATTCCAAGTGGAGCTCTTTGTTTTGTTTCCCATCGGGCCAGCTCCCGGTCGGTTCTGATTGCGAGCGAAATTGAGGACCTTAGTCCCAAATCGTGAACAGCACGACAAAACCACGATCCCACGATCTGTGAGTGCCGGGCAACCACTGATTCACGGTCTACATGGTCTTCTTTTGGCTGGTGAATCGGAATGTCGGACGAAAAGGCCTACCAACGAGATACGAGATTTCGCGAGATTTAGCGAGGACAAGTTAAGCTATTCCTCCGTTCCTCCTCACTTTGCGGCCGGTTCGCTGTATGTATGGTGTAAAGTAGTAACTAAGTGCATCGACAATTGCCGTGCTGGGTAACCACACCACTAACTACCATAACAGTCCTGTACATATTCCTCAAATCTTGGAAGTAAACATTCCTTCCCTTCTTTTTTTTCCTTTTTTTTTTTGGGAGGGGGTGTTCGCTGGTGGAAGCGAAGAAAGGAATGTGGACCTCCCTGGTCCCCCTGCCCTGCCCCTCAAGGCCTCCAGTATCTGCAATGCTTTCCCCCAAATGTCCTCTCTCGACAATCTTCTTTTTGCTTGGGAAGCGGTTAGATAGTGTTTTACACAGTACTCTATGCTTTAGGTAGTTCGATGTCCTGTAGCCAATAAGTTGTTGTAGTTTGTATCCCCTCTATAGTCAACCGGGTACTATGTATACTTACTTCAGCTGACTTGTAGTTCTGCTCGCCTATTTACCCGAAGAGTGAATTATAGACGCGTAGGCGCGGTATACAGTGGGTGGGGACGACTCAGATTTTTTTTTGTTTGAGTGCTTCATGATGCGCTGATCGTACGAGGAGGATAAGTTATTTCTGCGCTTTGGATCTCCGATTTTCAAGTTGCTTGAGGATTGGGATTGGGATGATGAAAGAGGAGACACATACACGCTGCTGCTGCCACAGCTTGGACTACTAGTAGCTCTTGAAGGTAAATATACGCGGTAGGGAGTAGGTAGTACTGTATAGCTCAATTGAGCTTATCCGAATTGTAACTGCAGGCGCAGGGAGGTATCTATTGCACACTGCACATACAGCAAAAGTTATTATCGTGTCTAGGCTAGGTGTCGCGCTACTAGTATAATCTCATTCCTGGGCGGAACTCTAGACCGGCGGCAGCTACTACGGAGTATAGCTTCAAATTTTCGTTAACTACAATGCGGTACGTTATGTACCTGTACAAAGGCAGCAATTTACTCACCCCTCGCTACCTAGCTAGTAGCAGGAGACTACATACGTGGATACTGAACAGCAGCTGCCTGGGTCACTTGACTGGTAAGTCTACGGTGTATCCAAAACCACTCGGGAAGTCAGGGGAAGGTAGGTTTGTACTGTATCTTAGTGGCCGTTGACCTCCCCCTCCCACAGTATCTGTTCATACTTCCTCAGCCCCTGGCCCCATAAAATACGATTAGGGATCAGGTACATATACACCCTAAAACACAGATCCATCAATCGGAAGCCAGGGAATAGAGATGTATACCGCGTCCAAACAGGTGGATCGGGGAAGTACTAAGGTCTCTACGGTGTATTCAGATTCGGCTGGACGGTAAGGCTGAAATTGAGAGGGCGGGGGTGGAGGAGAAGGAATGGAATGGAATCGAATTCTCTTTGGGGGGAGGAGTTTCCGTTCTGGGAAGACTACTCGTAACTGCCTAAGAGGGATGGAAGTACTCTGTATTGTTGTGGACAGGTATACTAAATTATGTATTAATAGTCAATCATGCATGGGATTCTGATTTGTGATGCAGGTCGTAGCTGTTTTCTGTGCATCGCTGCATACTACACACAGTAAGTAGTGTGGATTTGGGTTCCCGAGGGACAGGGTCTAGAACCTGTGGTTTGTTGGGGTTTCAGTTGTGGTGATAGACTTCCGGACGGAGACGGAGGGCATCGTTGCTGTTGTTGCTGCTGCTGCTGCTGCTGCTGCTCCTGCTACTACTGCGCTGTGCGGTGAACGATGCTTTAGACTCCTTCCAGTCCCTTCTGTGTTTTCTTTGGCTCTTCAGGGTGGGCTCTAGTGCATGTCTCAGGGAGGGAAGGAGAGGACGCGCTAGAGGCTGGAAACAATCGCTTGGACACCTCTAAAGTCCTAAGAAAGAGAGGTGTTCGGAGATCGGGACAAGCTTCCCGGATCATTAATTTGAGATTTACTCCGTAAGTTACTAGAAGATGTTATGCACCTTCCTGATCGGAGTTCGTGGGAGAAATAGGATGGGTTCGAGTTTGAGGGATCAATTGGTCGTATCCTGGACTATAATGAGCACCCTCTATTTCGGAGGGAATCGTTGGTCGATGTTCACTGTTGGAATAGATTAATTGGGGGTGGCTTCAACTCGGTAGTTGACTCGAATTTGTCTATGCAACAAACAGCCTGAACTGGCCATGTGCCGGGAAAGAGGTGGAGTGACGTCACCAATAGGGGCACATGGGCTTAACCATTCTGGGCCAACCAGCCGTGTGGTTTTTATTCTGAGACGGACCAGACTTCCACAGTACGGTTTGCGTCTCCAACTGCGGTGATAAGAAGGTGATGTACACACAACAATAGGGTGCCATTCCACCAACCACTGTCCTCGGAAACCATATTGCCGATCCCCACACCCTACCTACCGTATCGGCGTAACCTCCGTCTTGTGGGAGGGCAACCGGGGAGATGCGAAAAAAAAAAAGCGCAGTGATGCTTCGTGGCTTGCTCAATCCGGGCATTAGTCCACCGGTGGATTTCCGAGTTGGGGGATAAGAGTTTGGAGATTATCGATGCGAGGGGAGCAGATCGCAAGTGTGCGCTGCTATTCCGATTTCTGGTCGTGTGAACTTAACGGAGTACAGAGAGAGGGGGTGGAGATCTGAGCGAGGTGCGGTCTGTGTGTCTGTGTGTGTAGTAGCATTTCTACAGTGTATTATTTGCATCGCAGATCATCTTCGTGTTCGAAACAAGAGATCTAGTCTTGATTATTTGGTCTAGGGTGCATATGTACAGACTACTGTAGATACAAGGAACAAGCTGGAATGGAGAAGGCAGCGAGGATGTGCGAGATGGGAGAGGGATCAGAGTTGCATTGAATGAGGAAGGTCCTCCATAGATCCATCCATATTGATTGATACGAAACCAAGTAAAAAAAAAAAGGAAAACTCTGATTTCTTCTCACTGCTCGGTCTGACACGTCCCCCATCGCTCACGGTTGTCTGTTCTCCTCCTTCCCCATCCATTCTCCCACACGAAACTCTCTAGTGCAAAAAGCAGAGGAAAAAGGAAAAGTCAGATGGCCGAGGGAAAGAAGGGGAAGGGGGATTCCAGACCCTCCCCGGGAGCCACCCAGCAGCTGAGCAGTGAGCTTGGAAGCGGATAAATGACGTCAGAAACTCGGTAGGCATTCTGGCCCTTTCTTTGTCCCTCTGAAAGGTATGATGTCGTCATAGTTCTACTTCTAGTTCCTGTCAAGTTCCTTGGAATCCGGACATAGTGCGCCTGCAAACCCACCCGACTTTTCTGCCTCTGTCTGGTGTGAGTGGGTAATCGTGGTTTGTTTGGGTCTCGGCGGCTGACTGAGAAGAATATTAGTCTCCACTCCACATACGGATCGTGCCGATGTGTGAGAATTATTCTCCACTTGTGGTAATTCTCACCTGTTTTAGCGCCGTTCGGCCTGCAGGATGGGGCCTCGCTGTCGTATTCGTATTACTTACCATGCTTACCGGTTACGAACGTCGAACCACCGGGCGGTGGGTACTATTGGTACCAGCGCGTAATACTAGCCAAGGGCGCCCGATGGTGCTGGATTCGATGCCTGAGGGTTCCAGACTACTCAGGTAGGGACTTTGAGAATCTAGGGCACGAGAAATGTAGTCCTTTCTGACCGGTCGGGTCGTGCTGGCCCAAATAAGCAAAAATGGAGTTTCAATCGTAATCGCGCTAAGTAGGGGTAGTGGCTAGTTACCATGGAGTAGGGACAGCTCGGCAGTCGGAACAAGTAATCGACAAGGGACTAAACCGTTAGCTCGTGGCGAACCGGTCTGTCAGCCGATGCTTGTAAATTATATTTCCTTAACATTCTGGCTAGGTTGCGTCTCATGAATCCCCGGGGGTGGTCGATCTACAGGTCCCGGAAGCATCAGACACGAGGTGGTTGCTGTCGGATGCAGCACGAACCCCAACGCCGGGAATCGGTCTCGTATCACATGTTGGTAACATTATGGCGGGTTTATAGCTGCAGGTGTCAAGAGGTAGGGCTCGTTAGCATTTAAGGTTGATTTTAACGTGCGTGAAGAGGCGTTAGGTGGAGGGGGACCGCCTTTGCCACGGAAGATCGTGGACTGTCAGACTCTTCTGCTCGATCTCTGCGCGATCGTCCATTGATTGGTCGATCGGTGTTGGGGATAGTGACACCTGCAGCCGTGGGGACAGTAGCTTATCTGCAATAACCTCCGCAGCTAACGTTGCTGATCTACCGCAGAAGGAATTCGAGATGTCGTCAGGGGAAAGGCAGGATTGTAGAGGGAACTGTCAGACAACAACGAATCGTATAGAGTATGTGGTCATAGGGGTGGGTGGAAGACTCGTAGGAGAACAATGGGCATGTATGGGGGTGGGTCGCCTCCGTTCCTGCAAAGCTCCAGCCGTCACTCGGAATAGCATCAAATGCTGGATAGCTCCATCCCGAGGGTGAGCATCACGTCTTGGCTGCGGCTTAGCGCATACCCCGTCAAAATGGACCACCTGTGTTTTAGAGATGCTGTTGAAGCCTGTCATGAAGTTCTAAATCATTGTCCACCGTTTCATCGAGACTGTTGCGCGTGATGATTGCGGCCCAGACCAAGAAGCCAGGCCTGATGGGAGCAGTGCAGAGAACTGGTGTTATGCATCAACCCGCCAGACGAGATCAGTCCACTAATATGAGCAGCTGGACATTCCAGACCGATCCAGGCCTTTGTTTCCTGTTGATACGAGACTAGCTCGAAACGTCATCAATGATCTGATAGGCTTTGCCCTGAAAGCAAGCTTTCCGTGCAGGTGTAAGACCGGGAGGGATGGGATGCATCTTGTGCTGTCATAGCTGTCATGAACCATGGAGGTTAGCATTGGTGGTAAGGAGGAAAACGCACGGAGTACAACAGGACACGAAATCCGTGGACAAAGTACCGGGCTGAGCCACGGGGACGCACCAGCATGATCCGAGCTGAAGGGGGCTGAGAGGGGGGGGAGAGAGAGAGAGAGAGAGAGAGAGATATGAGGGGAAGAGGGGGGAGGCTGACGTAGCATCGCTCTGTTCTTGTTTCTTCCTACCTGTTCCTGGATGGTGAGGGTCTGTGACTCATTTAAGTCTAGCTGCCGCCCTGCTCGCGTGTTGTTAAGCTTATTCCTCGGCCCGATTCTCTCTTTTCATCTCTAAGAGATAAGCGAGAGTGGAGTTGTTTACATCTACTGTGTAGTTGTGAACCACTTTGCTAAAGATCACAGCTCTTGCATGTGTCAGAAGTGCACGCAGACATCTAGAATTATCCCGGAATGTACAAACTACCTCTGGACAGTAAAGATACTATAAGATCCTCAGTATAGAACCTATCAACATCCATCCATCTACACATTTTCCATGTTGTCTCAGTAGCTAGACCGTACTCCTCGACTGCTGCGTGTCTTGGGATATTAAAAGATGTGCTGCTGGTTATTGGCTGCCTTCTTGTCTTTCTGTCACACTCCCCTGCACCACCTGCCCCTTTCCTTTTTGGGACGTTTACGCACCTTCCTGCTCCCAAATGCACGACAACACGCACTCCATTCACTGCAGCACCTGACCCTTTCTTCTACTCCTTTTTCTATCTCTCTCTCCCACTTCTCCTTCTTTTTTCTCTTTCTCTTTCTCTTCATCCTCCTTTTCTTACCCTCCATCTACACGTTCGTTCCACTCTATCTTCAGCTTCAAGCCTTCAATCTTGACTCTACCTTCGTTTCCTCCATCTGCTTTCCTCCACAGTAAACCAGTCATTGCCACTCGCTCGTCACAATGTTCTCCAAGACTCTTTGCAAGTTTACGGTCTTGTTGGCCATGTGCTTCCTCGCCTCTGTGACTTTGGCTGTTGGTAAGAGTGATCTAATCATCCTCACTAATGATGTAATCTAACTCACAGAAGAAACCTTTGACAACACTGAGGTCATGTTCAATGCTGAGTCCTTCGTTGCTATCCCTCTTGGTAAGCTGTTCAAGGTTCAGAAAGTGTTCTGGAGCCAACGTCACTGACTACTTGATTCCTGTAGCCAATGATGAGCTCAACGCTCGCGATAGTATGCTCTCCTCCTCCCTGCCTGTCACAGCATGGCCTCTAACCCGCTGAGCAGTCACCATCATCAAGACCATTTGCGAGACTTCGACCTCGGTGATTTCCACTACTGGCCCTGTGAACCCACCCGTGGCAGTCACCACCGGGCAGCCTTCGAGCCAGTCGGAGTCCCAGATTGCGCCTCCCCCCCAGCTCACAAGTGTGACTGGCACTGCGGTGCAGCCTCCTGTGACTTCGAACCCCGAGGGAGCCTCTCCTACCTCTGCCCCTGGCACGACTGTGCAGTCTTCTGAGCAACCTCCCGTGCCCTTGACGACTGAGGCAGCTCCCATCCCGAGCTCCAACACACAGGAGTCTTACAGTCTGCCTTACACCACCAGTGCTTCCCACTCGGCTTCATCTGTTTCATCTACTGTACACAGTGTCACTCACTCTACTACCACCCTGACTACCAGCACCTCTGGTACTTCCTCGGCTGCCAGTGGTACTAGCAGCACCGCGCCCCCTTCGAGTGCGGCCGCTGACCTCGGTGCTATGCGTACTGCGTTGTGGGCCTTAGCGGCAACTTTTGCTATCTTCGTCTGCATCTAAGGGGTCCATTGGACGCTCTAGTGCTATTTTCATCAGTGACTTATGGGTGGGAGGACTTAGGATCGGAGACCCAGTGTGACTGAACCTGCGTCCCCCTTGCTGTCGAGCATCTGATGTTTCTATTTTCTCTTTGACTGTCTCATGTTGGGATGCAAGGCTTCACCGGTGCCGCTCCCAAATTATTTGTGCTATCATTTGCTAGTAAAGCGGTTGGTCACCGCCTAATAATTCAATCTAAAAGTCTTCAGACCTTGACGTCGTTCGCACAGTCGTTCGTTGCTACCATGGTGGGGTATCTCCTAAATGATAAACATACATAGCCTAGTCGCTCTAGGAGCGAGTTAAGAACCTGTCCACCCTCGCCCTCTATGACCCATACTGATCAGTTATACATACTCGGTCAACAGCACGTCCGATCATTATTACCCCTCTATCCAAATAGCTGCAGCAAGGGGGCCGCAGCCGCGAAGCTACGGAGCGCTACTTGACGTGAGGATCCATGTCTCATCGACCGCCTCAGTCAGTCATGCCCGCCCAGACAGAAGGCCGTATTGAAGGACCTCGCCGACCCCTCATCTGACGGGCTCAGGGATGCCTTAGTAGCACCATGCACGGGCTCCGACCCAAATCCAGACCCAGTCTCTCCCCGCTCTTCTCCTACCTACGCATCCGAAGAATCCCCAATGGCATCCAACTCCTTGGCCAGCGTGCATATGCGACAGCCCTCACCGACCCTATCCCGAAGCAGCCGCGCGGTCGTCACTTTCGGTCCGACCGTTCGAGCCGTCGCCGTCGAGATGTCCTCGAGGGTGATGGTGCGCGACGGCGAGAACGGGCGCGGCGTGTGCACGGCCGAGCGGTTGTAGGGGGTGTTCGGGCTGCTGGTGGTTGTCGAGGGGGAGGAGGTGGCATGAATATGCGAGAGGTGGAAGACGTGGCCGCAGGCGAAACCCACGAGGATTTCTTTTTCTATGGGGCTGGTGTCAGCACTTGCTTGTTTCAGAAGACCCTTGGGTCAGGCATAGATGAGGGGAAGGGGGCTGAAAAAGGAAGGAATGGAATGTAGTATATACATACCATTGGCGCGGAAGGGGCGACTACACCCTGCACAGCGGCCAGCCGGGGAGGCAGTAGCGGCCGACTGCGTCGCTGCTGTGATGGTGGTGGTGATGCTCTTTTCGGTGATGGCGTCGCTGGTTGCGGCGGCGGCGGCGGCGGCGGCGGAGGAGGAGGCGGTTGCTGTTTCGATCGTCCCCGCTGTGACGGGCCGTTTGTGATCTTCCTCGATGATGTTGAATTTGATGCCCCGGCGTTGACCGCGGCGGAGAGTGTCCATGCCGATGGCCACCTCGCTTTGAAGGACTTTGGCGGCGCCCTGGCTGATGCTGGCTTGTAGGTCGTGTTCGCGAATCATGCGGGTCAGACCGTCGCGGAGGCCCTCGATCTCAAGCCCGCTGGGGATCCGGCGGACGAGCTTGATGGGATCGATCGAGGTGCCGGCCTCGACGAGGAGGCCGTGGATGAAGCGCGGTTTGTCCATCGAGTAGTCGAGGAGGTCTTCCCAGAGGTCGGGTTCGTTCTGGGCCTTGGCAAATTGGATCGCCTGCGACACGTCCTTGAGGTCGGATAGGATGAGGTTCAGGGCGCGTTTCGTCTGGCCCGTCTTGGAGAGAAGGTAGATGAGCTCGGGCGTGAAATGGCGTGTCTCGCAGATGTTGACGGCCAGGTCGAAGGCGTACGAGGTGCTGGTCTGGAGGAATTCCATGAGCAGAGGTCGGTCGTAATCGGCGAACAGCTCGACGGCCGTGTTGGCGAAGTTGTCTACGAGTGCTTTGCCTTCGTCGGCCGCGAGCTTGCTGGCTGCATCGCGGATATGAGCAAAGTGGCCCCTGCGAGGTTTGGCGACGCCGTGGGGCAGCGATTCGCCGCGCCAAAGGGCTCGGAGGTAGAAGTAGAGATAGAGGAGCCTGTTAGCCGCTTGAAGTTGCTCGACAACGAGCTCTGGTCGCACAATTCCGGTATATGCTTCGCTCACTAGGAGCTTGATCGGCTCTGCGGTAAGCTCCTCGAGCTCGGACGTGGGCGCCGACTTCAGCTGTTCTTTGGAGACCCGAATGAGAATGAAAGCAGGAATGTCATCTGTCAAGGTGTCGAGAAGACGGTGATCCTTAATCAGAGCCATCGCCGTGTCTGCGTCCTGAAGGCGGATGTAGCAATGTAACGCTTCGCCGTAGTGGCCTCCCGCCAGATACAGTTTGGCGAGACATTTTGACAGGATACGCCAGTCATCTGTCTCCGTGGTCAACTCGCTGAGTTGCCCTTCTACCACTGTCGCGACGTTATTTGCATCAAATAGGTCGAAAGGCCACTGGTCAATTAACTGGCTGAACTTCGGCCGGTTGTGCACGACGTAATGACCAAGGATGGTCTCATAGAGATCCGCAGACAACGGCGGACGCATGTTCAATGGAACCACAGAAGATATCTCGTCCAGCTTGTCATTTTCTATGAACTTCCAAGCCCAGTGCTCCCACCTGTGTGTAGTGTTGAGTGCTTTGGTACAGACGTCAGCAGCTTCACGCCATTGGTCTTGCTCGACCAGCTGCTCGAGCCATAGTTCCCCGATACGGCGCTTTTCCTGCTCTGCGGCGGATGCGTTCGTTCGAGCAGTGGTAGTTATGACTGAAGCTGCATCGTCGATGAATGATTCTCCAAAGCTTCCTTGAGATATCGAAGGTGTCCCGGGTACGGTGTCATTCATCTCGCTTCCGGCCCCCGCTGCTTCTGGATGTTCCTGGAGCAACGTCCATGCTTCCTCGTACTTCTCATGTGCATCCAGCCAGGCTAACCGGTCCGCAAGATCTCTCTTGAGCGCTACCACGCAATCATATGGGCTGTGCACGAGGATCTTAGGCCCTATGCTTCCTGCCAAGTCCTGGATCTCTTTGGAAAGAGGCTCCTCTGCGGGTACGCGCCGTGAGGCAAAAATACTCGGTGCCCTGCTAGAGCCTTTGTCGCCGCTGCTGGTAGTGCTGCGTATACTAGCGCCAGAATTGAAGAGTCGCACCGGGTAGAATGTAGCATCCCAGAGACCATTTCCTATTGTTTCCAGCGCCCCCCGCTGTGAAGCAGGTACGCTTGTTTTCCATGGAGGCAGGATGCACATGTGGTAGTCTGAAGAGGTGAGCGTCTCATAGCGACTAGTCGAGAGGCTGTCGGCACTGAGTTCGGTCTCTGTTTCGAGATCGATGAGTCGGAGCTCCGGCTCCAGACCTCGAGGGCGACGGCGCGATCCGGTTTGGCGGCCTCCATGTTTGCCGCGGTCGTCCTCGGGCGACTCCTGCTCTGCCTCCATGTACGCAAGGACGACCAGAAGCTTTGGTGTGTACAAAGAGATACCGGAGATCACACAATCAGTCCGTAGTATTGTGGTTATCTCCACGGACCCGATCTTGTGATCTCTGTTATTCTTGCTTGGTCTATCAGGGTAGACATCGATTACCCAGACAGTCCCACCCCAGCCTACGACCAATTTCTCGACCTTCTCCCTGACAATTGTGGGATGCGTCGGAGCCGAGCTTTCAGTATGACTCGTACCGCCTCTCGTCTGCAGGCTGTCATCAATGTCCAGTGAATTCTCGTCTACCCATTCCGCGTGTGCTTTCCATACGCTCGCCATCTCGTCCCAGCCGGGACGGTTAGGACGGTCGATATGGCTGATGCGCTTCCATGCAAACTCCGAGTCGTGCGAATCGAGGTGCAAGTTCGAGCGCATGATCTTGATGCCCTCCTCGTTCACCCATACAACATACTTACCCGACAGGGACCACTTAATCGTACTGATGGCACCTTCCCCTCCATGTAAAACGGAATCTTTCCCAGTGTTGGTGCCGAGGCCTATGGACCCAAGCCAGCTTGAGGCAGCTGCCGCAGCGCCGCCCATGGTCGTCGAGTTTGTACTAACACCCACTCGGCCTCCGACAGTCAGAATTAGGTCGCCTGCCCTGCCGCCTGACAGATACGTCCTATCACTCTTGTACTCCGGTGATAGTGCGACGGCTTGCACCGGCCGTCCAAAATTTCGCAAAAGGACATCCTTGGAATCAAGCAGAGATGCCACGCAGACATTCCCGTCGATAGAAGAAGTAGCAATGTATATCGAGTTGGAAGGCGTCGAAGGTATGGCGGGCTGAGTAGGTCTTTGTCTGCCACGGAGGCTAGCGGCGCCCGAAGATAGCTTGGAGGAGGCGTAGTCTGGGTCATCCGCGAAGCGGGCGAGATACTCGGGTTTCACGGTCGGTAGTGGAGGGGGGTACGGCGAGATCGAGACCGAGGTGATGCTCGCCGAATGAGCGTGATAGACACGAAGGGAACGCAATTGGGGTATCGAGAGTACATGCTGTGGAGAGGTCAGTGTTCGCATGATCCCGACCCGAACAATGAGCCGAACTCACGATATTTCCATTGTGGGAGCCGATTATCTAAATGGCCATTCATAGTTAGCAGTATTCTTACTTCCTGGCTGCTTTTCCCGTGCTCCATACCATTTTGTCCCCGGCAGCTAGAAAGGCACTTGTTGCATCACCATTGCGATACACCGCCCCGAGGTGCTTGGTCAGATAAGCATACTTGAGACGTGGTTCCTCGTCCTCTTCCTCGTCATCACTGTCGCCTTCCTCGTGATCAACATCCCCAGCCTCTGTCTCGCTTTCTGTCTCCTCGTCCTCGCGACTGTGGTCGGTCTCCTCCTCAAGCTCACCAGGCTGGGAGCGGTGATTCCTGTCCTCGGAGGATGTGTTTCGGCTAATGTGAGAGACGGGGGCGTGACCGTCCTGGCGGACACTCTCGATTGCCTCTGTCGCGCCAGGCGCGTCCATGGCGAGAGCTCAATCCGTACCTGGAGCTCTGTGAAACGGGGCACCAAGTGAAGGGGGAAGAGAAGCATCCCAGCGGTCAGTTGGAGTTGGTAGACGGAGCTAGAATCCACACCCGGTCGGGTTGCGGAGTATAGGTAGTATCCCGATTGGGGTTAGTCGCCAATTGAATCCCGACTGCATCATTTCTCCCTGTTGACTAAGCCCGCTTCTCTTCGACTTTAGTTAACTATTCATTCAATTCAAAATCCAAAAAAAAGAAAAGACCTACGTCGCTGTAGATTCAGTCTGGCATGGCATCCACGATCATTGGGTGACACAATTCGAGTCTCTTGCGGCAATCGAGCCCTTCTTCTTTTCTTTGTTTCAGCAGCGTCGATATTTATTTAGCATGTTTGCTCCACCATATGTCGGATCCATAAATTTTCGGCCTTTGGTGGCCAGGCTCATCAGACGGCCCCGAAGTCCATACTTGCCTACCCCATCACCTGTGGATGGCTTTCGGCGCAAGGCATTCTTGTCGCTCAGTCCATCTTTCGTCCAGAAGCAATCCTTTAGAGACGGCGAGAATGCAGAAATACTCGACGAGACCCAGAAGCAACCGCGCAAGAGAAACAGCCGCAAGCCGGCGGCACAAACTTCGCTGCGGAGAGTTGCGGTGGAGGCGCAAAGGTCTAAGGACGGGATCCTGTCGAAGGCCCAGTTGCGGGAGCAGGGCTTGTTGTATAAGACCAAGGTACTTTCTTTGCTGCCCTGCCGGTGCACCCCTTGATGTTAAATCCATGATTAGGCTAGCTAATTTCTTCTTTCTAGACAATCACCGCCTACGCCGTTGCCGAACAATTCGACATCCACCAAGTCCGAGAGATTCTACAACTGAAGGGCTATGAACCGGACCCCTACGAGACGGGCCTGTACCCGCAGGTGGTGCATGTCCAGGTACCGCTGGACTCGATCCGCCGCGTGAGCAACCCGAATGCGTCCGATCTCTCCCCCGAGGAGGTCGGGGATGTGTTCGTCTTCCCCTCGGGCACGGTCGTGGCCTGGTCGCTCCCAGAAGGCTTCACCTCGTTCCTGGCCACGCGGACCTTGCTGCCGGCCGCGCGGGGCGCCCACGTGGACGATCTGGAGACCGAGGACCTCGAGTACGTCGAGGACCCCACGCGGGAGAACAGCAGCATTAGGGGCGACACGATCGTCCTGGGAACCAAATCCAGCTTCTTCATGAACGGATCAATAACGGCGGCAGACCCGTCCGCGGGACGGCAGTCCGTCGACACGGTGCTGACGAAAGTCGCCTTCTCGTCTGGGCTGGCGCGGAGCACGAAGTTGGCCGTGCTGGAGTCGCTCCTCGCCAACTACTTCGAGTCGACGCGGACGATCCCCACGCTGCTCTCGCAGGGGTCGCGGCTGCCGTTCACCCGCGACTTCATCCTCCGGAAGACGGGCCAGCTGCTCAGCGTGCGCGCGCAGCTGAACCTCTACTCCGAGCTGACGGATTCCCTGCCCGACATCTTCTGGGATAGTCGCCATGAACTGGGCCTGGAAGGGTACTACGAACAGGTGGGCCGGGCGCTCGATGTGGGCATTCGCATCAAGCTGCTGAATGAGAAGATGGACTACGCGCAGGAGATTGCCAGCGTCCTGCGGGAGCGGCTCAGTGAGACGCACGGCCTGCGTCTGGAATGGATCATCATCTTGCTCATTGCCGTGGAAGTGGGCTTCGAGGTCCTGCGGCTGTGGAAGGAACGCGTCCACGAGCAGGAGAAGATGAAGAAGGAGGCACTCGACGAGCCCGTCTCGAACTGAGGCCGCATGCGAACCTTGCTGCACGGATTTCCTTTTCATGCATTGTACATATATCTCTTCAGAGCGACTCCACTATATATGATACCCCAATATGGACTCCACATTTATCGAAGCTTGCAAGTCCGGCTCAGGATGTGGAAGAATGAAAACTTCACGCTCAAGTTGATCGAATAGAATGGTAGCAATGGTCTTCTCCTCTTATGCGGGCCCACGAAGGAGGTACTCAAACCATGACGTTTCATGACATTCCCTCAATGTCGTTAGGAGACGTATAGATTCTACATAGTGGCAGAAGGGCCTTGAGATGGGGTTCAGGTGGTTACAAAGACTGTTTCTAACAAGTTGCAAATGGTCGAATATAGTTTTGAATAGCTTATAAAGGTTCGAAATCAGTTCTCCAATTGGTAGTGAAACTAATACGTAACTGCTGGAACTGCCCATCACTACAAATAACGTGATAGACTACTAGCAATTAGTTTGATTATCAGCAACCAGCTTGGAAACAGATATAGGGTAGGTTGCTGGCTGTGGATAAATAGCTAAAGACATATTCTACTCATCTCATTAAAGCCAGCTACTATTAGAGTAGCTGGTTGTCACTTGTTGTCAACTGTTGCTAACTGGCGTAAATAGTTGTGTTATCGGTGATATCACTGCTTGAACTACTGCATGGTACGTACACAAACGTTCTCCCCCAAAAAAGGCGAGAACGAACCTTTTTGATTACTTAAGCTCCTGGCTTGAATCAACCAAAGATATATATGTACAATATACAACGGTAACGACAGAACGGTCCGGCAAATTGACACCCTCCCAAAGAAAACCAGGCATGCACCTCACATTGCAAAATCCAGATTACAAAGGCTATCAATCGAACGGGGTATGGGCACAAGCACAAGCACAAGCGAGGTACAATGCAAAGGGGAGACAGGCTAACGGTAACACGCTAAAATAGGACTGGACTGGACTGTACACTACTAAGTTGCTTTTTGAGGTTGGTTTCCGTCTCACAATACATGCCGAATCTTGGCATAGAGTTCGGTGTCGAGGAAGTTGTACTTGGGATCGGGTTCGCAGAATGGGTGGCGAGTCAAAAGAGTTTCCGCCGTGGGACGGTCGAGCGAATCGCTGCCGAGAAATAATGTTGTTAGCTTGTTGAACCTGACCCGAGATCAAGGCGGAGATGAAAGGACTTACACAGTAAAGCAATCGTACATGAAGGCCAGCGCTGCTGGACTGATGTTCATGGACACGTCCTCCGGAATAGGCGGAGCCTGGCTCAGGCTGCCGAGTTTAAAGATGGCTCCAATCGCCTCTTCCTTGCTCCACGGCCGACGACCGGCGAACATTTCCAAGACCACACACCCGAGGGACCAAATGTCCACCTTGGCGCTGTACCCCTGGCCTTGCGACTGAATAACTTCGGGTGCCATCCAGAACACTGACCCCTGCATGGAATTCGTCGAATCGTTGCCGTAGATGTTGTCTGTCTTTTTCGAGATGCCAAAGTCGGAGATCTTGCATGTTCCATCCAAATCCAAGAGGATGTTGTCGGCCTTTAGATCACGGTGCAAGATACCCTGGTCGTGGAGATAAGCCAGCCCACTTAACGTCTGATGCGTCAAGGATTTCACCACGCTTTCCTCGAACTTGCCATGCTTGCGCAGACAGCTACCAATGGATCCACCGGAAATATACTCAAGGTAGATGGAGATAGATAGATCGCCTCGCTCGCAACCGAGATACTGCACAATGTTGGGATGCTCCAGGTGCTGCATAGTGTCGATCTCTTGATCCATCGCAGCAACCATCTCCTTGATGCGGTCTGTATCCTGCCCTGCGATCCGAGGATTGACCTCCACTTGTTTTACAGCCAAGACCTCACCATTGTCGGCGTTCATGCCTAGGTACACCCGGCCGTAGGTGCCCTTGCCGATTAATTGACCGCGGATGATACGGAAAGTGGGCTGTCGTTGAGGGATGTTACCAGATGGTGCATGAGTCTGGGGAATAGGGTCAAGCTGGCTCAACCGGCTGCCAGGTTTCGGGCTGATCTGCATAATCTTGGCACCGAACATCTTGGTGCTCTTCCGGCGGAGGATGTCACCTGACCTTTGATTCCCGGTGGAAGAGGTCACACTCCTGTTTCTGCTGGCTTGATTGGCTCCCTTAGCCACTTCACGAATAGACTTCATTCGGGTAAGCCCTCCCCCAGAACGGCTGACGTTCCGTCGTGCAACAGCACCTGGCTCAGGTGGTCTGACAGGTGGTTCGCTCGGGATGTTGACAGGGGCTGCTGCAGCATGCGGCATAGCGTACGATGGATTATCTGGCTTCTCCTTGTGGCTTAATTCGTTCTCAGCTGCCATCTTGCTGGCTGGTGAAGAGGGCGGAGACATGCCCTGGCCGTCAAGATATGGGGTGTCAAGGTCAACGTCAGGGAAGAAGTCATCGAGATGGTCGATAACGCCTTCAATGGGAGGTCTGCTGGCCCAGATGTCGCCTCGAGCAAACGAATCTCGGCGTAGCGGTCGTTCGTCTTCAGGCGAGGCAGTCATATCAGAGTGATATGCCTCCGGAGCGCTTGAATCGCCGCTCGAGGCCAAGAAAGTGTCTCTAGTAGCACTCGGAGATCTAAAGCTCACAGAGAGTCCTTTGCGTAGCCTATTCTCGGTGTTCAGAGTAAGTGATGGCTTCGCTGTTCTCTTCTGTGATTCGGGTGAGCTGGTCATGGACCCTTTCTCCGTTACAGGCGATTTAGTATTCGCAAGTGGTATGGCAAAAAGCCCATCGTCCGAATCATCGTCGGAATCGTCCTGCGGCAAAGGCGAGCGTTGGAACGAGACTTTCGTTTCCTCAAAGTCGAATTCAGGTCCGTAGGATTTCCGAGCCTTCAGACCTGGCCTGGGTTCAGGAGATGAGGTGTTACCCCTGATCGGTGATTCCACACTGTGCGCTGTGGGTGTGGCTTGGCTATCTGGGTATGTTCCCTTCGACTCGTCTGTCGCTGAACATTAGTTAAAGAGCCACAAGGAGATTGGCGCGAGAACGAACGGCAGGAACTTACCTGAATGATTGAGGGCGGGGCTGCCTCCCACATTCATGTTCGGGCTGAACGTGCCCGTTGTAGTGGGTGCTGGTGGCGAGGGTGTTCCGATCGCGCTAGTGATCCGACCAACACTAGCTAGAGCAGCCCCCAGACCGTGTGGTTGCGCAGGTATCTGGGCACGAGGACGATCGACGTCTCTCTTTCTCAAGGAATTGACCTTGGTAAGAGTGTTGGACTCATGCGGTGCAGTCGGAGGTTTGCGGAGCGGCACCAAAGAATCGGACTTCTTGTCTTCATAAGGTGATATGCGGGGAGAGTCGAAATCAATGACACCTTCCCGCCTATAGCCGGTTTCCCCATAGGCATCCTTTCTTGGTTGCGGCATAGGAGGCACCTTCGAGATACGGTAGGCCCTTTGCTTTCGCTCGACCTCGCGCATATGCTCTTCATGACGAGCGAGCAGATCGGCCTTCTCAGCATCGAGTATTTCTCCCTCCGCAGCATGATCCACAGGAGAAGCTGCGATAGAGGTTTGCGACACGTCACGTGGAAGCTTAGAAGAGGACACCTTCAACTGTTGCCGCGAAGAAGAAACCTGTGGCGAGGTAGGCTTATTCTGAGTCTGAGGCGATATCCTGTTCAGAGCGTCTTCATCTAGTGGCTTTCGATGCACGAGGTGAGTGGATGTTGGCGAGGCTGTCGCTTTGTCAGGGATTGAAACTCCTAGCCCAGCAAAATGAGGGAAGCCATTCGTTGCTAGCATGTGCGATCCTCGTACAAACAACTTGAGTGAGCCTAGAGTGTCCGACCTTGATCTGCGGCATAGAGCGAGGTTGGTGTCGTTCAGAGGTTCATCATGTTCCGTTTGACCGGGCTCAGTCAAGTAAATCTGGGCCGCAGTCCAGTCCGAGATTCCCAGACTCTGGCAAATCGCAGATCGCAGCGTCTCAACAGAATCCATCTCAGTGATATCCACTAACCGATAGTTCCAGCCATCTAGGGTGACAAATGTCCACTTTTTGGCTTTCTGCGTCTTCGCACGCAAGACCAACCGCTCATGATCCGACATGGATGCAGAAGATGGGCGTTCGCCCAGTGACATATCACTGGTACTAAAATTAGGCTTCGCATACGGAAGATGGGAACCGTTCTGGCGGGTGTTGACAGGGCTCGTTGGAGACTCGAGGAACTGTTCTTCGGGGGAAGGGTGAGTAGAATCGCTTCCTTTGGTCCTCTTCTTGAAAAAGTTCAGTAGACCCGTTCGATGATCCTTTGGATATGAAGAAGGGGTCTCTCCGCCGGAATGGCGATTATACGCTTCCTGGGGCGAAGGTCGTACTCCGCTATCCTGCCTGTAGGACTCGTAATAACGACGTCCGGTCATGGAGTCCGCACTGTTTCCACGAGAGTGTTCAAATCTGACGCTCAAGTCACCGGTCGACGAGGAAGGACCCGGCTGGGCAAGTGATGCATGCTGTGTTGCCGGGCTGCCGCTCTTGGGGCTTTCCTCGTAGGGTCGGATGGGCGCTTGGAAAGTCCCACCGTCGCTGGACATGGAGGGGCTCTGCCTTTGGTGCTCCCCGCCAATGCTTGACAGGACCGCCCTGGAATAATCTGAACGTGGCCACAGGGTGCCAGTTTCGTTATTACCAAGTTCGGCTGATGCGGGGTCATGGCTCGCAGGTATCGGGGTGGTGAATGAGCGCATCTGGGTACTCTGCCTTTGCGTGTGGGCAAGCTGGGATGCCTTGAACTTCGGACTATTTGTGACACTTCCGGAAAATGGACCGGCAGAACGGGGCTCATGAGTCACCTTGGGGGAGGCCTCCTGCATTGCGTCAAAAACACCGTTGGGGTGGGAATCCCGTCGTTTCTGTACTGCGAAGTCTGCGTCATATGTGCCGTCTTCGTGTATCTGGCGGATTAACTTGCGCATGCGTTTGCCCTCCTCACGCTCGCGAGTTTGATCCCAGCCCGTACCGCTCAATTCGCATTCCTTCGCGAGTTGGGGGTAAACAACGTTGTGCATCTTACCCAAATTTGGCCGGCCGTTCGACCCATGGCCCAGTTCCAGGAAGTCGGCGCCCTCGATTTCTAGCGCCCTGAAGGTTTCTTGCCAGTCCTTGGAAAAGCCGTGTCGCGCAAGCCATAAAAGAACGCGGTCAAGTGGCCATTGAACCGCCGCTTCGTTAGGAGACATGCCTCCAAGCGGCCCGTTGCTATGGTTGTGGCGGTGACTCGGCGACTTCGTGAGTTCATTCGTTGGCGCTGGCTGTAGTACTTGGTTCTGGGAGGCCGTGCCAGCGAATCCCGACGCGATTGGCTCATGAGAGCCGTCATTGACGGCTAACGATGAAGGGAGACTACGCGAAGACGGCGTAGAAGGTACATTAGCGTCACGCTTGTATGTGGAGGAATCCCCCACGGAATAGTCATAAGCCTGGGTGGAAGGGAGTCGCTGTCGCTCGAGGGATGGCATGGTTCCTGGGTTCTCGTAGGGCGGAGCAGAATGCACGTCGAATGGCGGTATTCCGACACCCGGTCCGAAGGAGCCCGGTTGCGGAACGTATGTCGCAGATGTTCGGGTATCAGTGGAAGAAGGGATCGAGAGAGCAGTTGGACGACCGTAGGGCGACTGATTTGTAGGGACCATCGGAGGGGGGGGTGGGGGAGGTAGAAAACCCTGGGATAGTGCCTGCCTGGCCCAGGTCTGCTGCTGCCAGCCTAGAGTATTCTGGTGCTGCAACTGAGGGTTGGTGAGCTTGGCTGCACCATATCCTGCTCCAGGAGGTGGCCCAGGGGGCGGAGGAGGCATGACATTCTGGGATTGGGTTGGGGCGTATCGAGGCGGCGGTGGCGGTAGAGGTATCATATGCGCCTGGGAGGGCTGCGTTGCCGAAGGAGGAGGGACCGGTATGTATTGCTGCTGCCGTTGGCCATCCATCTTAACGGTATGGGGTTATCACCGTTGCGAGGAAAGGCTCTTGACCGGATCTCGAATCGCCGAGGGTCTGCACAGAGGATTCTAGGAAATTCTACTACTGTTCGGAAGCCCCTCTCGGAGAGGGATTATGCAGGTCGCTGAGGCCGAAAAATATGGACCATCAGCGCTCAATGATGGAGGAAAGTCGGCATCCTCGATGCTCCCAAAAAAGCCCGGTAATGGCCCTAACCAATGTCGACCAAGTCGCACAGGAAACACGAAGTACTGGCGACGTATTCAGGGGACGGCAGATAAAGGAGACGGAGGCGAGATATCTCAATGCACGATTGTAATTCTTGCGCAGCTAGCCTCCAAATCGGGTACGTAAGCAGAATCGGCAGGTATCTGCGGCCATCGGCTTCGATAGATCGAGTCTCGTGAGGCTGCGGGTGGGCAGAATCGCGCGCACGTTGTGAGCTGAGGGGGAAAACAGCACGACCTCTGTGATGAAAAGAGCGTCTATATTTTCAAAGAAGAATAAGAGAACAGAAGTAAAGCGAGGGAGTTGGGAATTTGCGAAGATCTGCCACCCCTAATAATCGGTCTTGTCAGTTCGAAGGGGGAGGGGGGGTGGAGGAAGAAAGAGATGGCAGGAAGGGAACCGATGCCGCGGAAGATTGGCCGGGAAGCTAAAAAACATACCACTAACAATATGAAAGAGATTAGTCCCCCACGTTTTAGATTAAAGTCACTAACTTGCTCATTAGAAGGGTTTCCTCGCAATGAATGAGATATCCTTTTCACAGGCTACAGCAAGCGAAAGGTCTGCTTGCCATGAACGTTGGGGTAAATCAGGCCCGGCCCAGGCTTCGCAGAGGAAGGGAGGGAGGGAGGGAGGGAGCTTTGATGCGCTGGCCGCCTTAGCGCTCCTTCAAAACGGCCCATCGATCACGTGGTGGTTCGATAAGCCCGTTTCAAATTGCGCAGTTCAATTCATTCAAGCCATTCATTCATTCACTCATTCATACCCCCTGCCACCATTCCTGTAGACTTGGCATCTGTTCTCCGGACTGCCCCCTACTTCGGAGTACTCTCATCTGGAATGTCTCAACAGAATAATGAAAGACTGTCAAATCCCAAATAGTGAAACGGCATGACAGCGAGGGTCTGTCACGTAATCTTCTACTCCATAAGTTAAGCTAAGCCCGGCCGGCCATTCAGCGCTCTGCCCAAAAGAAGTTAGTCCCCCCTTCAACGGGGGGGCGGATGGCTAGAAGGACTATACAATAGACAAGTTTCAGATGCTCATTTAAAGATGCCCCCCTTCTCAATACTACCACATCACCTCCGGCAATTGGCAATTAGAAAACTATCGGCACCATGAAAGACTTTTGCTTGTTAGCCGACAATTAGCCGACAATGGCGTGCAATTGCAAGACAACAGATTCTCATTCTTGCCCTTCAACATGTACAAGGAGATCTGTCTGAAATCACGCGCCCTCATGTCTCACATTAAAACCTGCCAGGAGCACTATTTGAGATGAGCTCAGCGGAGAAACTCCCTCGGGAAAGCCGAGACAGGCCTATTGTTCCCCTATCCAAGCACTGTGCACCATCACAGCTGGCGTTCCACCGTCCAGCCCTCCAAACCATTCTGCCTTCGCTCCCTCTCCTCGAAGAACGGCCTGAAGAGCGCCTGCACAATCTTATCCGGACGATACTGCTCGAAATACTCTCCGCTCACCGGGTCAACCGTGCGGCCCGCCACCAGCGGCATGCCCACCAAGATCCGCGCCTCACCTTCCGGCAGGACCTGCGCAAAAATCCGACTGACCGTCTGAGAGGCCGCCTTGGCGATGCTCAGCGACGCCACACTTGGGTCGGGGTGCTTGTCCAGCACGCCGCCTGTCACCAGATACAGGGGCCACTCGCCGTCGGCGACGCTCTCCACCCGCGCATGGGCCCGGAACCACTGGCCAGCGACGAGCGTCCCGATCGCGGAAACGCGCAGGTCGAGTTCCAACTCCTCCGGCGTCAGCTCCGTGATGGACGAGTTTGACACCCGCGCGGCGTTGTAGCTGAGCACGTCGAGGGTCCCGCCGAGCTGCTGCAGACACCAATCCAGAGCGCAGGTCAGGCTGGCCGGGTCTCCGGCGTCCGCGGCGCGGTGGACTATCTTGATGGTGTTTTGTGCCGGAGCGGCGTAGCGGACTTCCTCGGCGATCGAGGCAAGGCTTGTCTCGGTGCGGGAGATCAAGGCGATGTTCCAGCCGAGACTGGCCAGCCACATAGCTAGCGAGCGGGACATGGCGGAGCCCACGCCTACGATGATGATGTTGCGGTTCGCGCTGATGGCCATTGTGTCTTTGTATATATATATATATGTGTGTGTGTGTGTCCTCTTGATCGGAAGCCTAGAACTAGCGGGCGCTGTGCCTTGCTCAGTGTAGAGATGAAGCTAAGAAGATGCAGCGAAGCAGTAGTGTTGTAGTCTTGGGGTCTTCGATGCGCGCGAGGGGCTTACAGACATGAGGGCCAATGCCTTCTATCCTGCTTTCAATGATAAATGTGACATGGTCTCGAAGACTTTCTCGCGTCCTTAGCTGGATGCGGATGTGCTGAGAGAGCACAAAGGAATCAGCTTCACATGTATGATGCTCAAGACGCCCGTAACGCTGCGCACGTCATACGGAATACGGCCAATGACGACTCTGGATCCCTGGGAGTATACGAAGCGGGGTTGACATCCGGCGTTCGACCTACCCTGCAGCGATCTGGCCTGGTCGTTCTAGACCCAACGGTTCGATAAAAAAACGGGCAAAACCGAAGCCTTGACCTTCGCCCCCGTCTTGCTCGGCTTCTCATTGTATGGTTCAGGCATCGGACGGACTCCAAAATTTACAGGGTTGAGCCGATTATATGGATCTGAACATAGGCAGGCATACGTTCCAGATGGTTTGATCTACAGTCAGGATTATGTGGATCAGGATAGTGATACGCATCAAGCTTGAGTTTTTGTCATTATCATTAATTTACATACTTAAAAATCAAAACCGCTGTGTCGAAGCGACAGCTACCTCCACTCACTTACCCTTCGAAGTGGCAGAGTATGATTCTTTCACAGCACATTCTATCAAGTGACTTGCTCAATATGACTTTGTCATTTCTGGTCAGGATGCTGAAGCAGGCCGAAAGAGAAAGCAGGCTCTCTCAGTCGGTATTTCGCGGTCATCATCGTATTTACTTGTTTCTCGCAGCAGCAGCTTCGGCGGTGATCTTCAGTGCGGCAGGTGCGTCGTCTCTGGGCATGTGAAGCTCAACCAACTAGGATGCGTCAGTCTGCGATTTCATCGCCATGGAGTTGTGGAAGGTTGGAAGGAACTTACCTGCAAGTGTGGCGCCGAGTTGAACTCCTCGTTCGCGAAAAGCTGCTTGAGTTCGTCGCGAGTGGTGACCTTGTAGCCTGTGTACTTGTCCTCGGCTCCGAAAGCGGTCGGCAGGCCCTTGATATCCCAGGGCTGGATGTCGTTGTAGCTCTCGTCCCAGCCGTGGATGTACCGTTCAATGGTGTATCCGTTGTTGCAGATGACGAAGCTATCTCCTTGTCAGTGTACCCAAAGTCGAGAAAAGGGCTTGAGAATCAAAGCTTACATAATGGGGTTGAGGTTGTTTCTGATCATGGTGCTCAGCTCTTGCACAGTAAGCTGAAGACTACCGTCGCCAACAAAGAGGACAGTGCGGCGGTTGCCGAGTTCTTTGGCCGCCAGAGCAGCACCCTGACAGGCACCGACCGAGTAGCCAATGCTGCCCCAGAGGACTTGACTGATGGCGGTGACATTGGCGGGGAACCGAGTCTCCCAGATACCGAAGTTTGAAGTACCAGTCTCGGTGATGACAATGTCGTTTTCCTTGAGCCACTGTCCGACCTTAGGCCACAGCCACTGGTGAGTGATTTCGGTAGTGGTAGACGTCTTCTCTTCCTCTGGTAGTGCGTTCGAGAGATGCGAAACCGGTTCGGCATTCACCTTGCCGAGTTTCTGGATGACCTTGCGCAATACTCCTTTCATGTTGATGTTGGGGTACTCAGAATAACGCACGCGCACGTAAGTGCTATGGAAGTCGATGGTGTTAAGTTGTCCGATACGGTAGGTGAAACCACTGGTGTTGAAGTCCGACTTGATAGCACCGATGCTCAGAATAAGATCCGAAGATTCGACCTGTTCGCGGACGCCGGCGTTCGAGCCTGTGCCGGCATAGACTCCTCCATAGTTTGGTTGTGACTCGTCCACAGCCCCCTTGCCCATCGGAGCCACGAAGGTGGGCAGACCGGAGGCCTCCATCAGATCGTGCACCTCGTCGAGAACACGATGGCGGATAGCGCATGCATCAACCAGAATGACGGGCTTCTTTGCGGCATGGAGGTATTTCAGAACGACGTCCACCACATAGTCTTCCTTCTCGGTGTCATTCGGAGGAAGTGACAAATCTAGTTTCGTGTTAAGTCTTTCACCCTCAATCTGCTTTGTGATCATATCGGTGGGAAGAGTGATATAGACGGGACGACTACGGATCCAGCATTCGCGAATAGCGTTGTCAATCAAGGTCGCGACCTCGAGGGTTTCGGTCAGGCGGGCAAGTGAGCAGGAGACTCCGGTGTTCATCTTGGAGAAAACATCAAAGTCGCCGTTTCCGAGCGTATGATGAAGCAACATTCCATCTCTTTGCGATTGAGAGCTGGGTTGACCCACGATGTGAACGATGGGCACGAACTCGGAGTAAGCGCCCGCGATAGCGTTGAGAGCAGAGAGCTCCCCGACTCCAAATGTTGTGATCAGGGCACCGATGCCGTTGACTCGAGCATAGCCATCCGCAGCGTAACCTACGAGAATGTCAGTCCGAAGCCACAATCCATGCGAGTGTGAAATCGCAGAGAATCAAACTTACCCGCATTGAGCTCATTGCAGTTTCCGACCCAGTTGAGACCACATTTTGGCAGAAAGTCTAGGGCTGCAAGGTTGTAATCACCTGCCGACGAGATAATTAGGTTAGAAGTGAAATAGGAATGAAGTAATTGGTGTAGTGCTCTAACCAGGAACACCATGCACTGAGCGAACTCCCACCTCATGCAGACGGTGGAAGAGATACTCAGCGACAGTGATAGGCTTCTTGAGCTCTCGATTGACGATCTCGTTAGTTGCCATCGTGATGACCAACAAGGTGAACGTGACTCGACGTTGATTTGGGAAAAGGTATGGAAAGAAGGTTGGAATGGTGTGTAAGATAAAGGTTGATTATTTACATGAAGGAGGGGCAGCATAAATAGGGAAGATGGTTCGGTTGTTAAGTACGTCACGAAGATAGCGTGATGTCATGCTGAATGGAGATGGATTCCTCCGTGCTACCCGCCGCTTCACTATCCACCGGCCTTGAACAGACACCGGGCGAACTTACCCGAGACATGACCGGGAAGTGTAGCCAGTGAGCCACAGGCATGCCATTGACCCTGGCACGATGTCGGATCGGAAGGTCAAGTGGTGCGATGTTAAAAGGACGATCCCGGACTGATTTGATAGGTTTTTTGATAGTTCCCCGTCCGGCCGAGAACAAGCCGTCAATCACTCCACCTCAACTTTTCCACTGCTTTGCTGCTGCTCTTGCACCTCCCGCACTAGTCTAAAAATGGAATTTTGGATGCCCCGCCGCGGCCTCATTCTTTTGTGCTTATCGCCTTCACCACAAGCAAAATACATGCATCTAGAATTGCAATATACCGCGTAATCCTAGCGATTCACCCTCGCTTCCGCACCGTTTCCAACTTGAGACAGGTGCTTATTCGTTGGCAGCAGTAGTCGTTCGTGACAAGCCTAGAAGAGTGCGTGATATCTGCGTATGGCTGGAAAGGGGAAGCGGTCCATGCCTGATAACATGTCGGGTCAATCGTCTAAGAAAAGAAAGGTTTGCAATCTTGGCTGGTGTCATCGCCACACAAATCAGCCCATGGATATCATGGTATTTGAAGGACTATCTAACACACAACTTAGGGAGGAGCTGGAAGTGGTCAATGGCGCAAGCAGAGCAACAAAGGAGGAATTGAGGGTGGGGATTGGGGAGTATTTGTGACATGCGATATCGGAAAAGAGTCCAAGTGCATGTCGGAGGCTGTGGATTTGTTCACTCAAGTGCGTAAACCCCTCCCATCCAGCCTTGATGTGATCTCCCTGTGAAGCGGGGTCAGTCCCCCGCGGCTTGATCGCTGGTTGCCCTCTCATCTGCGGGCTGTGAACATGGTCTAACAGGCACTTCAAATTCAGTGCATCGAAGGGACTCAGAAGGCCGATGATGAAGACAAGTCCGATGACGAAGACGAAGATGATATCGAGGCGATGATCAAAAAGGAGGTTGAAGGACTAAAACCAAGCCAAGCCAAGTCTCGTCCATTCCAAGCCATTCGAATGGACTTACCATGTCGTGCGTTGTCACCTCCCTATGCACCTCCCCAGGAAAACTCCTGCTATTATTTTATACTGACTTTCCTAGTATCTTTCATTCGATTCGACAAATCCATTGATCCAGAGGAACTGGTACATCAATTATGCCTTGATGCACACGCTCACCCGGAAAAGAAGCGCTCCCGTTACATCCAACGCATGACTCCAGTGAAATCTGTTCGAAAGACACTCAGTGTAGAACTCGAATCCTTTGCGCGCGAAATGCTCAAGCCTCATTTTCACTCCGGAGGTCCTCTCAAGAAGGTACATTATTGCCCCGGCGACTCTCAACCCCGACCGCCACCAGAACATGCTAACTCATGCCACTTCTAGTACGCCATCCGACCAGTTGTACGAAGCAACAAGAAATTCAGCAGAGACTCAGTCATCAAGACAGTCGCCGACGTGGTTGGTCCCGAACACCCCGTTGACCTTAAGAACTACGATACACTTATCAATGTCATAGTCATCCAGGTAAGCTCGAGAGACTAGAAAAATCGCTCTTCGGTTCTTGGTGCTAACAGCTGATGCTGCAGAATGTAATCGGTATCGGTGTTGCGGGAAGTGACTATGAGCAACTGAAAAAGTACAATTTGGCGGAATTATATACTCCAACTTCAGCAGAGCAGGCTGCCCAGCCCTCTGACGTCTAAAGCTAATAACGCCGCCGACAGGCTGCTTGAATGATCGTCTCTGTGATGACTGGGTACCTCGCTAAATACCATATCAATTACCGCTTGGATGCAAAATGCGCCCACCGACCTACAAATGAACATTGTTTCTAGGATACTTTAAGGCAATATCCAGATTGCGCAAACGCTGCGATTAAACCGTACGGTGAAAATGATTGCACTACGCGGACTCGTATTGGGCGTAATCCTGCGTTTCTAGCACCTAAAGCACAACTCACATTGATCAGCAATGCTTTCAATACGAGGACGACGCGTCAGACTGCAGTGACAACACCGGCTTGACAATGATTCATGATGTCTTTTCAAGCTGCTCCGTATGTGTCGATTGTAGTACGTGCGCGTAAGCTTCTCTCATCTCAGACCTCTCGCTCTTGGGTACATGGGCTTCTAGCTACATGTCTAGTGAGTCAGAGGCAGATTTTTGCGGGATTCAATAGCGATTTGTAAGATTCAGCGTGCATTCATAATTTGACACACACTGAGGACTCGGAACAACTGTGAGTTGCCCAGTTTGGGGAAGTCAACCGAAGGCTCTTCCCCCCCATCCACAGCATCCACAGCATCCACAAGCCGGCGTGTCCACATTCCACATTCTGCTAGCTCAAAGGGCCAAATGTTGGGGCAACTGATCAAGCTCTCGGTTCAGGGTACTTGAACCAAACTGCAGTAGTGGTCGAGTAGGGCGAAGTTGGAGTCAGAGACCCATGAACACGCAAGGGACTTTTCCCTGATAGGTCAAGTGTACCGTACATATCTGGGGCTAGAAGTATAGCCTCACGCAAACCCGACCGGATGGAAACATGCTGCCACTCATGCCCAGGCCGATCTAGTTCTTCCAGTAGTATGTCGATGACTGGATAGTGGATGTACTGTAATCCAATCTACCTGGCGTAGACACTGTAGATGAACCGGGCGGGCCAACCACAACTCATTGCGAACTGTGGGTTTGCGTTAGGCCAGCAACAGCAGCTCCATCCAGACGACTAGAGCCGGGGATTCATTCCTGATCGTTGTTTAGCTGCTTAGCATGATGATAGAAGGTCGATTCATCAGCAACTTCTCCGTCCGTGGGATCATGGATGGGATTGATTTGAAGCCGGCAGATCCATCCGCTATATTGCATTCGGTAAAACGGTGCTCTGATTGGTCAGACCCCGTTTCACCTGCATGGCGCCTTTCTCAGAGCGGGAGAGTTAGGCGAGCCCGCGAGGCCGAACCTTACTCAGACCCAAGACTCTCTTCCCCATCGCGATGGAGTCCCTCGGACTTACAGCTACTTCCATTCATCATGGACATGTTCTATGCAGTCCGTTACACTCGCTTAATCTGCTCCGATGAGGAAATAGTATGGCCACCCCGGAGACCATTTACCAGTAAAAAGCCAGAGTTGTTGTATATATTCCGCTTAATCAACCAAGATGATACTGCTAATCTTGCAGGGCAACAACAGGTTTCCGGCCAACAAAGCATTTTGGTCCTGGCTTGACCCAGCCGTCAACTCTCTGCCACTCATCATCTAGAGACCTTTCTCCGATACTTTGGCGAGAGTCTTCTCAAGGCTCAATTTCCCCTCACCCCTCTCCAAACCCCTCTCACTAGAGGCTGCAATGTTTGCTCGGAGTCAATTCGATATCACAGTCCGCGACGCTTACGATGTTATAACCGATTTATAGAGCTTCCTGGGACGTGCTGGCCTTTCTTGATTCATTTTGCTTTATTCTTCCATTATGTCGCCTTCTTTCGCCATTGCGCCGGCTTGCATGGTCGAAGCCCCTGGTACAAATACTATTGGTTCAGTGCTTCAGCGCCATTTTCCACCTTCGGTCCAGATCAAAGAGATATATCCCCTGGAGGGCCATCTACACTCTGTCAGTCTCTTGAAACTATCGAATGGGACCCAGTGGCTGCTGAAATGTCCACCTCGATCGACGACACCCCTTTTACGGCGCGAGCAGCTTCTGCTCGAAACTGAAGCACGAGCGCTGTCTATTCTAGGGCAGAGCGCGACCCCACACGTACCATCATTCGTGCACTATGGTTTTCAAGGTGGTCCTTTTGATTCTGCTTTCTTGGTCCGGCATTATGTCACAGGTTCGACCCTGAAGGAGATAGGGCCCCAGCTTACGGCACACGAACGCCGAAAGCTGGACCGGGATCTGGGATCACTGGCTCAACAAATTGGGCAGCATCTCTCTAATTCCTTCGGCTCACTGGAGCAAGTGGCCTGTGGGCGTGGGAAGCTGTCCTGGAGGGACGCTTTTGTCGCACTCTTCGAGGACATCCTGCGTGACTCAGAAGATGCTTTCGTTCACTTGCCCTATTCCGAACTAAGGCATCAAGTTCGCCGCTTGTCGTATGTCCTGGAGGAAGTCACCCTACCACAATTGGTAGTGATTGGCTTGGGTCGACCATCACAAGTCTTTCTGGACCCGGTGTCCAGAAGATTGTCTGGAGTAACGGGCTTCGGACACGCATTGTGGGGTGATATATGTATGGGGGAGATCTTCGAAGACCCCTCACCCGCTATGCTTGAAGGCTTTGGGGCTCGAATAACGAAGAGCAAGTCACAGACGACTCGTCAACTACTGTAGGTTTCTCCAGAACTGCATTACATCCCGATTTGTGCTAATATCTGGATTTCAGCTATGCTTGCTACCGTTCAGTCCAGAAAATCACGATACACTATTACCGTGACAAGGAAATGACCGCTGAGATGGAGGCGAGAAGACAACTAACAACGACCCTTGCAGCAATGGGTACGATTTAAGGGGTAGTGAAGACCTGCGAAGAGCGCACTGGACTGCGTCGCCAGCTCTTTTCTAGTCGCAAGATTTCTGAATCTCAGAGGTTGGGGTAATGACTGCATGACTTGAATACTCTTTTTAAAATGTTCGTGCATTTTATGTAGATAGCGGTAAACACAGCGGCAAATCTGTTAAGCGCAAAAACTGACTTTGTTCCGGGAAACCCACGATCTAGTAGGGGAGAATCGACCAGCTTGGCCTGCATACGCCCCGGCTCAGCTAGTCAGTCGTACGTATTCTAGATCATGTGAATCAGTGCCGCCACTTCGATCGTTCATCCAAGGATGATAGAATATGCAGCAGCTTGAGTGCTTCTTGCGATGCACCTGGGCGGTGACGGATGCCAATCATTTTGTTGCTGCGTAACTGAGAGCGGGCTAGTGCAAAGCGGGCGGGTGGATGATCCAGTCTGCCCCGCCCCAGGACCGCCCTACGTAGTGCGTACGGCCTTACTCCAATGCCGTCAGTCGGGTCAACCCAAGTTACCTTTATGTACTTTTCTTCCCCTCCCGCTTGACGTGCTTCTAATCTCCGTAGGGTCTCCGCTGGCCTTTGTTTTCTCAAGTCAGCTTCATTCTTACTGCAGTCAACATTCGACTTACCCTGGGTATTCTCGAAGACTTCCAGTCTCTGCGAGAATGGCGCATTTCCTGAGAGGGAAACAGGCCGGCATCCAGAAGGACTTCTCTGATGGTTTGTCGCCGGACCTGTTCGCCCTCGATGATGTACGTCGTCTGTGCCGAATCAATCTTCCAATCTTCCCACCTCAGCCCCCTACCTCATATCCTCAGAATACTGAATCGCCCATGCTAATTGATCGCTCTTGTTCTACCAGTTCGCTCGCTGTGGTATCAATTCCCAAGTCAGTGCTATCGCCTACGACCCGATCCAGTCCCTCCTTGCTGTCGGAACCAGTGATACGCAATTTGGACATGGTCAGATCTATGTGTTTGGTCAACGGCGGGTATTTGCGGTTTTCGCGCTGCCTCGCAAAGCGTCCGCCAAGTTCCTTCAATTTTGTGCCGATAAGCTCGTCAGTGTCGACTCGAAAAGTGAAGTGACAATCTTTTCCCTCGAAACGAGAAAAACATTGGTCTCATACGCACCCCCAAGTCATGCGAGCGCGTTGTTGACTGACCCGAGTCTCGACTATGCTTTCATTGGTCTGCAGAATGGTATGTTCTACGCTGGGACTCGTGTGCGCTCCCCTCTCTAACGACACCTACAAGGCGATATTATTGCATATGATCTCGATCGTGAAACTTTGACCCCCTTCAGGGTCCCTAACTTGTGGGCTCAACGCAATGCACGGACGCGGATGATTCCGGTCATTAGTCTTGCCTTCTCTCCTCGCGATATTGGCAAGATCTTGGTCGGATATCCGGATGGTGCAGTGACATTCTCTTTCAAACAAAACGTCGCACAAAAATACTTCGAATATGAAGTGCCCCCGGGCGCGCTCGGCGGGAATGGAGAAGTCCCGATTCCAGAATTGCGCAGACCCAGATTGACACAAGCTCTCTGGCACCCAAATGGTATCTTTGTTTTGACAGTTCACGAGGACAACAGCCTGGTCTTCTGGGATTCAAAAGACGGTCGCAAGGTCATGGCTAGGTCTATCGACACCCCTAATATTGATCAGCCAGGCGTAGCCTCTGAAAGGCCTTCATCGGCGGGAGCTACTGCATTCAAGGATCCAATTACGCACGTTGCGTGGTGCGTCAAGGACAATGGCGATGACAGTGGGCTCTTGATTTCTGGTGGCCGGCCGAAGGCTGAACCCATGAAGGGTCTTACGTTTATTGATCTGGGCCCTACCCCTAATTACCAAACTTCTACTTGGCCGATGATCTCGAAATACTTCGAATCTCCAAGACGTGTTTCTGTCTTACCCACGCCTCCTGGCGGTGAAGTGATCGATTTCTGCCCCATACCCCGCAGCACGCCTTATTTTGGTGGCGCTCATGATCCCATTGCGCTGATTGCGCGCCTGTCTTCTGGAGAACTGATTACTATGAGCTTTCCGACTGGACACCCAATCACGCCCACGAATATGCTTCACCCTTACCTTTCCTTTGTGCACCCTTTCGTGAATAAGGCGACTCTAACCGCCGTTGATCGATCTGCTTGGCTGGGTTTGAAAGAGCGTAGGTCACAGGGGCCTAAGTTTCTTCTGGGCGGCGCAGAGGCCAAGAGGGCACTTAAACGCTTCGAGGACCGAAATATCATCACCACCGCCCATGCAGATGGCACTATTCGCATTTGGGACGGGGGAATTGATGACGAGATTGAGAATGGGGAGGTCGTACAAGTGGATCTAGCTCGCGCAGTAGGTCGTGTGGGCAATATCGAGGTCACTGAGATGTCTTTAAGTGGTTCCACGGGCGAATTGTCGGTAGGGCTTAGGACTGGCGAGCTCATCGTCTTCCGATGGGGCAACAACAAGAATTTCGGCGTTGAGGAGCCCCCGGGTGCCAATGAAGGCCCCGGCAAGTTGACCACGATCACCCACCGGGTCGATCCCGGACTCAAGCAAGGCATGCTTCCTCTCACTCTTCTCAACATGCAGCAAGGGCCTGTGACTGCCTTGAAACACAGCCAGGTTGGCTTTGTCGCAGTTGGATTCGAAAGCGGAAGTCTAGCAATTATCGACTTGCGTGGGCCGGCGATTATTCATACCGCCCATTTCTCCGAGCTGCTCAAGGCAAACAAGAGAAATAGCTTTTTCAAACAACGCAGCTCTGAGTCCCCCTCTCCGGAGTGGCCCACCTGTATCGAGTTCGGAGTACTTACGCTCGAAGGAGAAGGTAAGTCTCCAAGTGACAAATGACGGGCGCTTGGGTGACTGACAAATTGGTGCAGACTACTCCAGCATATGCTGCTTTGTGGGTACCAGCAAAGGTAATTTGGCGACTTTCAAGATCTTGCCAGCGGAAAACGGGACCTATTCGGCAGTCTTTGCTGGTGCAACTTTGTTGGACGATAAGGTCATCAACATCATCCCAATCAATGCTGATAGTGGTAGTCCTGCTTCAGCTTCTCCTAATGCAGTCGGCGGCTTGCGCAATGGCATCAGAGTGAATGGAGTAGTGGTTGCGGTGACCGTGTCAGGGTGTCGGATTTTCAAGCCTGCAACATCCAAGGGTGCCCATAGGTCTTGGGACGATTACCTGTGCGATTCCGCTACGGTAGTTAAGATTGAAGGTCGTGGCTACAGCCTCGTTGGTCTTTTCGGAGACGGAAACACCCGGGCTTTCTCTATTCCAGGCCTCAAAGAAATCGGTTGCAGCGCAATCAGTCAGATCGCCGACATGAGGCGACTTTCGGATGCTCATGTCTCCTCTAGTGGAACCGTCATGATTTGGACAAGTCCTTCAGAAGTCGGGCTATTCAGCGTCTGGGGAGCAGGAACCGGCCTGTGAGTTTGACGTCTTCCAGGCCCCCCCC